ATGGTTCCTGCTAGTATTGATCCCAGAGTGCAGAGTCAACCAAGTATGGCCCCAGAGCAAAACAAACAACAAAAGGAAATCCTGCAACCAGAAAACAGCCACTGCGACTCCTCTGGCCCCCCACTTCTTGGCAGCCTCTGCGTTTGCCTGTTCTGACCCCCTCATGTCCAGGTGATCGTGTCATTTGCTACCTTCAATGTGGCTCAGAGGTGGAACCTTTGTCTTATGTGTGAGACTCTAGGTTCAATCCCCAGTACCACACAACAGATGGAAACATGGGGTATTTTGTGTCTGGCTTCTTCCCACGCATTCACGTTCATCGGTGTACATTAACATCCGTTAAACTGAACCTTGATCCTTTTTCTGGTAGAATCATGTCCCAAAAGTCTGGAGCCGCCATTTTGTTTCTCCATCAGCTTCCTTCTCCGGCTGTTGTGAATAACGCTGTTGCAAACGTGTGTGCACAAGTTTGTTTGAACATCTAGGAGTGGAACGGTGGGGTCATATGGCAACTTGTTCTGAACTCTGTGAAGAAAGGTACGCACTCTCCTGTGTACATTTGGTAAACTGTAAATTGGTGGTGGTAAGATGGGGTGAAGGTGACATCTGAGAGCAAACACTGTTATTTTCCAATGTTTACTGTTTCGTTTCTTCATTTTTCCTTCACTTGTAAAGAGAACGGTGTGCTTGGAGCCAGCTAATAAGCCAGCCACAGGCTCTGTGAGCCCCACCAGCCCTTCAGGATCTTGATCAGTTGTGTTCTCAGATGTATCTCGAAAGCCTAGAACACTGCTTGGCCCATGGCTGGTGTACAATAACCATTTGTCGCATGAATAAATAAAGACAATGAACTCTTTCAGGTGCCCTACAATTTCAAGAAAACAGACTTTCATCAGCTAGAACCGAAGTGAATGGGATCACACCGCAGGTGGGTGGTTTAACGAGAAAACTGTTTCCCAGAGTCCAGCCCTCAGCCCCTGCATCCTTTCTGCCACTGGCCCTGCAAATCCTTCTTGGCCTGTTGGCTGGGAGCTAGGAGAGCCTGGGCGCTTTGGACTTCACAGCTGGGCAGCCCAGCGGGAGGAGCTGGAACCCACAATCTCCCTTGGTGGTGTCGCAGACCCCTGGATCCCACGGTCACACTCAGTTCTGCACTAGCCCGAAGTGTGTGTGGCCAGCCTAAGGCACCCCCAGGCATCCCTCCGAAGCGCTGTGGAGTGGTCATCGCTCTCCCTCCCTCCCCCAGCAGAGGCCAGAGGGAGGAAGAAGGAGAGAAGGATGGCAGCGGAGCGTGCAAATTGGAGGCTGATATTGAATTGCAGCTAAGTGAGCAGAGGATTAGCTGCCCCACCTGGACCCACCCCAGGAAAATACCAAGGTCGGGGCTGACTCTCGTGAGAAGTAGCAGGCCTGGCACTGGAGGATGTGGGGGTGGACACCTGGGGGTCATGAGGTGAGGGCCGGGCCCGCAGGAAGGGAGCTGCTCTGGGCTTGTCTGCGGATACCCTTCCTGCCGTCCTCCATCTGGATGCTTCAAGGCCAGAACTTGGGGTCTGCAGGCAGCTGATGCTCTGGGCCAGGGCGTCCTCAGGGGTAGAGTGGGAGAAGCTGCCTGCACTGAGTAAGTCCAGGAAGGCTTCCTTGAGGAGGGTGAAGGGTGTGGGGCTAGGTTGGGATCCAGGAAGACCTGAATTATAAATTATGACTAAATTACTTCCTAGCTGTCCATGGACAGTTTATTCTACAAGCACTTTTTGGCACGTCTGTTCCATGCCAATCAAAGTTAAGTGCCATGACTACAAAGGCAGATTCGACACAGTTCCTGTCCTCGGAGTTTAAGCACATTATCCAGAACGGCGTGACCCAGGCTGCCAGAGGGGTGAAGCAGAGGACTGGGGGGCGGGGGCAGCTTCAGGTCTTGAACCTCCTGAATCCCTAATGTGCGGCTAGACCCACATCACTGCGCTGTTGGGAAGGTCTGAGAGGGTTAGAGTGGGCACCTCCACAGGCCAGGCCCAGAGGAAAGAGAGGTACAGCATCAGGCAGGCAGCAGGAGGGCACAGGGTGCAGAGGAGAGGGCAGCCAGCCGTGACTGTGGACCCCTGGGCCCCCCAGGGTAGGCTGGGGAGCAGGAGCTGGGAGTAGTCTTTAGCTGCCCCAAGAGAGCAGTTAAACAGGTGGGGTGACCCCAAGCCAGGTCCTAGGACCCTGCCCACTGTTAGCTCTGAGTCTCTACTCCCTGGGGTATTGGACACCCACAGTCCCTGTCCAGGAGGTGGAGAGACCAGGGTCCAGGGCCAGTGAGAAAGTTCTTCCCCTCTGCCCTCCCACCCTGAGGGAAAAGCCCCTTCAAGTAGTAAAAGGCCAGGCAGCAGTGTGGGATTCGGTGTCCCTTGGCCCCAGGGAGAGAGCTGGGACGAGGTGGAGTTTGAGCCAACAAGGAGTAGCACCTCCCAGGGCCCCTGCCATTCTTCTGGGGCCACACAAACCCTCCCCTGCCAAGGGCTCAGCCTTTGGCTCCTTCGTGGCAGGAGAAAGTCCCTGTCCCGGCCCCTTCCTCACACCTCAGCCTTTCCAAAGGACAAACTCATCCCAGCCCCTCTGCCCCACCCTGCAAGTTCTGAGAAACAACTTCTCTTGAGAATCGGTCCTGATGGTGGTGCAAAGAACAGGCTGTGAGGGTTGAGGGGGGCTGGGGGGCGGGGTTCAAGGAAAGGGAGCCAAGTTGGCAATGCTGCTCATTTATTCATGCAACAAACTTTGGTTGAACAGCTCTGCTGAACCCTGCCCATGCCAGTCACTGGGGTCTCGTGTGAGCAAACCCCAACCTGCTTCCCAATCCAAACAAGGACAGACATAAATAAGATGTGGGCCAGAGAAGGCCACGAGGGAAGCCACGGGCTTGGCTTCCATGAGGGGTGGTGCAGGGGCTGATCTGGAGGAAGCTTCTCCAACAGGAAGGCAGTTCCTGCTGGGATTAAGAGTCCCGTCTTTGCAACTGTGCAGGTAACCTAAGAGTGGGGCCATGAAATGAATTTAGTAGTTGTGACCTTCACTTCCCGTTTAGTGAATGAGAAGAGGAATGCAGGGAATGTTGTTGTATCACATGTTAATTGAGCCTGTAGCCACCCTCCATGGATCACGTTCAAGCGGAGGATATGCCATGTGTCTCTTCCTGCAGGTCTCAATCAAAGTGAGCCCCTCACTGGCCTGGGATTGAGAATGAGCAGATGGTGACCCCTGTTCCTGGCACCCTGGTCGGGCATAGCTGTGGGCCACTAGGACCTGCAGGGGGTTGGTGAGACCTGTCTTGCTCCATGTCCCACCCCCAGGCAGGAGGAGTGAGTAGTGACCAGTGGGCCTGGTTTCTGGCCTTTCTGTGTCCAGGGGCTTATGGCCCATGAAAGGGGACTGAAGCTGGGATTCAGCTAGTGACCGAGGGGGCTGGGATCTCGGGACCAAGCTGTCTTCATAGTTCAGCCCCCGACTTTCCAACCTAGTAAGTTTAGGTGACTTTTATAACCCCCACCTTTGTAACATGGAGTCAATGAGACTGGTCCCTAAAAGCTCTTGTGAGGATTTCATTTGTCACCCAATTGTCCCAGACCATCAATCCTCTGGGGTCCCACTTAACTTTCACATAGAATAAATAAGATGCCAAGTTAGTCAGACACCGAGCCAGGTACTCTGCAGAAGACAAAAGCCCCCTAGGATCCTTCCCAGTTTCCCACGGCCTCAGCCCAAGGCTGTCGTCTTCACTGGTCCCTCTGTGGGTCGACCCTGTCCCTCCCCCTGGCCCCCAAGTTCTGGCCTCACTCTCACCGGAGGTGTTCAACTCTCATACCAGGCTTTGGAGAGAATGGAGGCTCAACTCAGAGCAGGAGACACAGCTCCATTTCTGAAAGCACCCCTGAGTGCCATGCCCGGGCTCCCAAGGGGCACCTTCCTGACCACAGCATCCCACAAACACCCACTATTTATGCTTTTCTGGGGTCTTGGTCCCCCCTCTGCGAGCCACTAACACAGAAATCCCAAATCCCTGGTTTCCTTATTATTTGCATTAATTAGCATTCATTTCTCACTTCTCTCCCATCTTGATGAATTGAGGGGGGTGAGATAAGGATTTATTTTCTTTTTTCTTTTTGTTTTTCTTTTTGGGTCACACCCGGCGATGAACAAGGGTTACTCCTGGTTCTGCATTCAGGACTTACTCCTGGCGGTGCTCAGAGGACCATATGGGATGCTGGGAATTGAACCCGGGTTGGCCGCGTGAGAGGCAAACGCCCTAGCCGCTGTTCTATCTCTCCAACCCTGGGATTTATTTTCATGATCAAAAAATTCTGTGCCCATGATTGAAAGCTTGCTACAAGTGTGAAGCGAGGAGGGCAGTTAGGAGAGAGAAGTCCACTATGACAGTCATAGTTAGAAATGACCACTCTGGAACTGAAGAGATAGCACAGTGGGTAGGGCGTTTGCCTTGCACAAGGCCGACCCGGGTTCGATTCCCAGCATCCCATATGGTCCCCTGAGCACCGCCAGTAGTAACTCCTGAGTGCAGAGCCAGGAGTAACCCCTGAGCATCGCCAGGTGTGACCCAAAAAGCAAAAAAGAAAGAAATGACCACTCTGGACAAAAACTGAGTGCTGAGAGTAGGTAAAGGGATAAATATGATAACCTTTCAGAACCTGTATGCAAACAGTAATGCCCAGAAGGAAAGAGAGACAGACAGACAGAGACAGAGACAGAGAGGCAGGCTTGGGGGTGGAGGGTGGGAAGGAAACTAGGGACAATGGGGACATGATTGGTGGGAAATGTACACTGGTGAAGAGAAAAGCATTGGAACATTGACTGAAACCCAATCGTGAACAACTTTGTAATGTGTATCTCACAGTGATTCGATTAAAAAAATTCTAGGCCCTTTTCCTCTCCTCCCCACCCCCCACCCCAGCCATCTTGGCAGCTGCTCTTGGCTGGGGCTGTCCTGTCCCTAAAGCGGGAAGATGGTGGCCACCAAGAAGATGAAAAAGTCTCTGGAGTCCATCAACTTCTGCCTCCAGCTGGTGTTGGAAAGTGCCACGTATGAGCTGGGCTACAAGCAGACGCTGAAGATGATCCAGCAAGGCAAAGCCAAGCCAGTCATCCCCACCAACGACTGTCCAGTGCTCAGGAAATCTGAAGCCCAGCACTATGCCCTGGTGGCCACCATGTTGGTTCATGACTCCAGCAGCAATAACGTGGAGTTGGGCACAGCCTGTGGGAACCATTCCAGGGTGTGTGCACACTGGTGGTCATTGACCAGGAGATTCTGATATCATAGAAGCATGCCAGAACAGACTGGTGAAAAGTAGATCATGCAAGAGCTTTCTGTAATAAAATCAAAGCTTATTTTTAAAAATTCTGGGGTTGGAGATAGTACAGGGGTTAAGGCACTTGCCTTGTTGACACAGGTTCAAATCCCCAACATCTCATATGGGCATAGGGTCCCCCAAGCACTGCCAAAAGTGATCTCAAAGCACAGAACCAGGAGTAAGTCCTTAGTACCACAGGGTGTGCCCCCCCATAAAAAAAAATGACTGAAACAAAATCACAAAAGTTTGTAAGTCTGTAACTGTATCTCACAGTAATCCATTAAAAAAAAATAACAACAAGGCTTTGGAGTGGTGTTGGAACAGTGTATATCTGAAACTCTAAAAAAAAAATTGGATCCCCTTAAAGCCAGATTCCTATGACTATAGTTCGGCCTCCCTATTTGCAGGCTGTGTGAACTCAGGAAAGTCACTCAACCTCTCTGTCTTGTTTTCCTCATCTTCAAAGAGGAAGATGCTCATTAGCTCAGAGGATTGCTGCTATGAGGCTTAAAAAGCAGAATAAGAGATAGAGAACAAAAGGGAATGCCTGTCACAGAGGCAGGATGGGATGGGGGGCGGGGGGTGGGAGGGATACTGGGATCCGTGGTGGTGGGAAATGGGCACTGGTGGAGGGATGGGTATTTGATCATTGTATAATTGAACCCAAGCACAAAAATTTGTAAGTCTACAACTGTACCTCATGGTGTCTCACTAATAAAAATTTTTAAAAAAATTTAAAAAACAAAAACCAAAACAAACAAAAAAAAAAGCAGAAGCCAAGGAATGGCTCGAGTTAGAACTGGCAGAGCAAGCACCAGCAGCTGGGTTAGTATTATAGCTACTGGGCCAGGCCTGTGACTCCATGGTAGAAGTCTTGCCTTGCCTCTGACCAAATTTGATCCCTGGTCTTGAAAAATAATAATAATAATAATAATAATAATAATAATAATCCCCTTTTTCTATTTTAACACCTTTACAATCATGGTGTCTCACAGCCCCTGCATGGGTCACGTGCTTCAACTCAGGCAGACCCAGCCCATGACTTTCCTTCCACTCCTCTTTCAGGGCTACAGAAAATGTCTTTTTGAAAAGTTACAGTGTGGAATCAGTCACCGCCACGAACCACCTCCAGCACCACTGGCTTTGATCCAGAGACTCACAAATAAATCTTGAAAGAGATCAACATGTGACAGGCAGAATTCTCCTGGATCCCGCCCAAGGCTGAGTTATCCAGAGTACCCGGGAAGGAGGGACAGGGGTGGTGAGCCCAACACCCACCCAAACAGAGCCGCAGCAGCCAAGAACTGTGCTCCCAGAGGGACTCCACTGCTCAGGACAAGCCTCATCCAGAAATTAATCCATTGAAAAACCCAGGTATGCAGGTTTTGTGACTAACATCTCCAGACTCCCATGGAGTCAGGGATGGGCTACCTCCTCCCATCTCCCTGTACTGCCAGAAGCAGCCACACACTCCCCCAAACACCAGCCAGTTAAAAAGTGAACTCCGGCTGTATTATCCTGTTAAAAATCTTGGGCAGCGTGCAGTCGCGAATACAGCACCTCAAACTCTACAACACTGATAAACCAGGAGAAGCACACCAGAGTGGGAGGGATGTAATGTCGAAGGCATCCCATCTCAATTAACAAATATCAACATAGAAAGCTTAACCTGTAACGACATCTTAGAAATCTCTTATTACAAGGGCTTAATAGCTCCATGGCGAGATACACAATGGTCACTAACTTTTTTTCTGAGGAAACGATTTTTGATCATTATTTAGCAAATTATGACAAGCAATATAAAATAAATTATCGAGGGCCTGCTATGGGGGCAGACTTAAGGGATGGTAGGGAAAATTGGAGATAACGGTGGTGGAAAGGTGGGATTGGTGTTGGCATAACAAATTGTCATGAATAACTTTGTAAACCACAGTGTTTACATAAGGCATAAGGTAAAATACAAGTTTAAAAAATAACAGCAATAATAAATAAAAAGTTACACTATGGTTTACCAGTTAAACAAGGTTATTTTGTATACAGAAAGTTGTTAAATAGATAAACATGGCAGGAACTTGATGTTAGTAAAGCAAACAGTTCCCACTGAAGAATGAGCACAGTTCATGTTTCTTGTTAAGGTATTTTATGAGCCCCAAGGGAAGAAGATTTCCTGCTGCAGACAAACCTGATGTACTCCAGTGCTGAGAAAAGGGCCACTTGAGGACCAGTCACAGGGGACACAATGAAACCTGCAGGATGTTTACAAGGAGGAAGACTTGGAAAGCAATCCTGCAAACAGATCGTCCGGTGAGGCATGGTGGTGTTCACATTCCTGGTGGCACAGAAAGTGACACTAGAAAACATGAGGGAGGCCTCTGTGTCCAAAGAGGGTTCAGGAAAGTGGGAATCACACTGTGAAAAAACTGTTAGGACTACTTCCCCTCATCTGTTCCACCTGCAGTTTCATCTCCATGCATGCACAAGCATCTTTGACTTGAAAACTGATAGTGATGGTTCTAGGGAGAAAGGAAAGGGCTGGAGCTAGTACGCAGAGACCCTAGGTTCAATCCCTGGTACCACAGTCCTCCCGAGCACCACCAAGGTGCTCCCGGTGGCCCCAGTGGTGCTGGGTTTGAGTTTTACCCATCTGAATACTTCTGGGAGTGGGCCTGGGGCTCACTGGGCACTGCTTATGCGGGAGTTCTTCATTACCACCCATTTAAAAAATCTGATACTGAAATGGATCTAAGACGTCTTTAATAAGTACCAAAATTTTAAATGGTAAGAAGGCACTTTGGGGATTATTTTCTTCCATCTACTTTTAAATTGATCTTTAATTGTGGTAAAACTACATATTACGTAATTTAGTATTTTAGCCATTTTAAGTGCACGGTTCAGTGTAGAATGTTCAGTGTTGTATAACCGCCATCATCATCCACCTCCAGAAAGCATTTTTGTCACTCCCTGATTCCTAGTGTGTGGGGCACAGATCTCAAGAGTGGTGTTGACAGAAACACGTTCTTCACCCCTGGCTTCAAGGGAAGGCATTGTCAGAGCTGACCCCCTCTACTCCTCCAGACTGGGCCCGGACCAGACTCTGAGCAAGTCACAATCTCTGCAAACTTCATGTTCTGATCCATAAAATGAGATCCATAGTCTTGACGATCTCCAAGTTCCTTCGGGGCTTAGCTTATGCCTGTGTGGTTGAATGACCAGCCGGACACACACTTTTGGCTTGGAGATTAGTCGGCTACAGAGAGAAACCATGACTCCTCTTCTGGGTTTATCGGGAACCAAGAGATTTTCACATAACTAGGTTAGGGGAAGGCCTGTCCAGGATCACAAACACCTGAACCGAAGAGGAGACACCAGGCAATAGTGTGGCCTATTCATGGGCACATGGCAGCAGTGAGTAAGGGCAGACTGTCACAACCTCAGCTCATTCAGGGGCTGCAGAAGAGAGTTCGCTAGCACCCCCTGAGGCTCAGGCCTGAACTTAGTATGCTTTGGTGTGGAGAGCAGAGTGATTCCTGAAGCCATAGAAGGAGGGGAATGAGGAGGGGGGGAGGAGGAGAGAGTGGAAACACCCATTCTAGAGGGGCCCAGTTATGTCAGAGCTCCCTGCTTTCTTCTCTCTGGGTGCTGAGCCTGGGAGAGCATCTCAGAGTCTGTGTCTTCTGGGTGCATTTGGAATGCCTGAGACAGGCAGGATGGCTGAGGGGAGAGGGGCGCCCCCTAAAACACGAGGATGGCTGGCTGAAGGTGTTGCAGACATTGAAAGGACATCAGAGAATGAGTTCCACAAGAATCCCTGTCCTACTTGCAGCAACGTGGATGGAGCTAGAGGCTGTCATGCTGAGTGAGTCCGTCAGAAGGAAAGCGTGAGATCCAGAATGATCTCTCTCCTATGTGGGACTGAAGGATAAATACTAATGAGGGCAAGAGCAACATAAACGGGAACACTGATCCACACAACTGAGTTGGGGCTGGGGGGCTTAAAAGGGAGGGGTGCGGGGTTACTTGGGAGAGAGGTTGATACAATGGTGATGCTTGTGGTAGAATTATATACATTCGAAACCATTGTTAATTGCATTGTAAACCACAGAATCTCAATCAATTCGAAAAATTTTTTTTTTTAATAATCTCTGTTCAGGGCTGGAGCAATTATACAGCAGGTAGGACGCTTGTCTTGAATGTGGCCAACCCAGGTTCAATCTCTATCATCCTATATGATCCCCCAAACACCATAAAGAATGATCCCTGAGCACAAAGCCAGGAGTAACCCCTGAGGATCGCTGCAAAAATCAAAATATAAAAAGAATTCCTGTCCTGAGGTCAGAAAGATAATATAGGGGTAGAGCGCTTGTTCTACACGTGGCTGATTCCAGTTCTATTCCCAGCACCCCAAGTGGCTCCCTGAACCCTTCCAGGAGTGACCCCTGAGTGCAGAGCCAGGAGTAAGCCCTGAGCACTGCAGGGTCTGGTCCAAAACAAACAAACCAAGAGCGCCCCTGCCTTGCAGAGCTTTGCCTTCTGTTTGGATCATCTTCCCAACCTCTCTTCACTACTCTCCTTCAAGCACAGTTCTGAAGTTCTAAGAATGTGTTACGCTTTCATGGTCTAAGTCTTTTCCCAAAACGCCTCTGTGGACCGGCATCTTACTCCATTGTCCAGACCAGGATCTGAGGCTCCTGGGAAGAGTTGGTGGCCCAGTACGCAGGAATGTTCTGGAACCACTCGGGCCTAACTCCTAGGCCACTTCGCCATGTGCCTCCCCATCATTCTCCCCAGTGATGCAGTAGAAGGCTCACCTGATGGGCCTGGGCCTCTCCCAATTCTGCTTCTGGACCGCGCAGAATCCAGAAGTAGGTCCTCCCGCCCCTGCTCTGAGCCTGAACTGCCCTCGAAGACCCCCCTCAGCCAGAGCAGACCATGGCAGGCAGAAGGGGTGTTCCCGGGTGCTGGGCCGAGGGGAGCTGAGGCCAGAGGGTCTCTTGTGGAGCATGGCAGCTCCCGGAGCCTGTCCACCCACTGTGGACATTCTGGGGGCCCTGAGCTCCAAAGGGTGCCTGACAAGTGAGCTGCAGGCAGGGTACAGTTTCCCCTCAGAGTATAAATCACACCACCAATAACGGTGACACTGGGCAGGGCACAAACCGAGTATGAGCGAGACCCCCAAGTCTGCTCCCTTCCCCAACACGGTCCCCAAGCACCATGGACTATGCGCTAGTGGCCCCCTGCACCACAGCCTGGCAGCTCTGCCTCGCTGGGAGTACCCAAAACACGGAGAAGAAGAAAAGAAGTAACAATTGGCACTCGGACACCATGATGGGGCAGGTTCCAGTCGCTCAGAGTGATAGACTTGACATCTCCCAGTTTGGGGGTTAGGGATTGTCTAGGTCAATAGTTTGGATCAGAG